TAGCATATTTTTAATTTTTTTTTTTTATTTTATAGTTTTTTTTTAATTAAAATTAGAAATAGCTGTGCGTGTGACATGTAAGGATCGTATTCTTTATCTTCTTATATAAAACATTCAATTATACAAAATGTACGAAAATTAATTTCTAACAATAAAAAAAATTTTTTTTTGATTGATATTGCCGATTTTGATTGATGTTGCCAAAACATTGCGCCAATCAATTTTTTTTGCCAAAACATTGCACCAATCAATTTTTTTGATTGATATTGCCGATTATTCTGATTGATTATTACCGATTAAATATTGTGATTGATATTGTCATATTGCCGATTGATATTGCCCAATTTTTTTAGTAAATATTTCTATTTAAATGGTGTATAATATATATTTAAAAAAAAGATTTTGAGAAAAAAAAAAAAAGAAAAATTATTTTTACATTAAATAATAAAATTTCTTTGATCCATCTTTCACCCCTCTTCTTTTCAAATACTTCAGATGAGTAATATTGATATAGATTCTGAAAGTTTATCTGATAATGGTATATCACGTGATGCAACACCTCATGTTAGCGAACCAGAAGATATTCCACAGTAGAGTAGTAGAAACTATAAATCTGTAGTTCATGATTATTTTACTTTAAATAATACATAAAATTGATATGATTGCAAGCATTGTAATAAAAATTATAAAATAGCTAAAGATGGTTCAACATCTAGTTTATGGAAGCATATTAAAACTAAACATAATGATATATATTCAGAAATAAGTCAATTAACCAGTGCATTAAATAAACTTGAAATCTCAGAGCCATTGGTATATAGTATTTTATTTTTAATTTATTATTTTATATTTTATAATATATCTGATATTAATTAAACCAATTATATTATAGATATTTACACAGGAATCTTTTCGTAATGATTTAGTTTATTGGATTATTAGTGATGAACAGCCTTTTACCATAGTTCAAAATTTATTATTTCAAAAAATGATAATACGTCTTAATTCTGAAGTTAAAATACCTTCAGCTGATACAATTCATAATGATATTATAAAAATTTTTAAAGATGAAAAAGAATTTATAAAAAAAAAATTACAGGTTTGTTATGTATTTAAATATATTAAATTATTACAAATATTTTATTTAATATATTATTTTATAAATTTATAGGAAATACCAAGCAAAGTTTCTATTACACTAGATGCATGGACGTCAAAGAATCAAATTTCTTTTTTAGGAATAACTATTCACTGGATTACAAATGATTGGAAACTTGAAAACACTACTCTTGATTTTTCTCATATAGAAGGACCACACTCAGGAGAGAATCTTGCATCCAAATTGTTTGAAGTTTTGAAGGAATTTGAACTTTTACAAAAAGTAAATATTGCTAAATACTTTATTTAATAAATTTTTTAATTTTAATTTTTTTTGAAATACATTAGATATTAGGTATTAGTACCGACAATACGTCTAATATGAATAAGATGTTTAGTAAATTTGAAAGTATTTGTGAATATGAAGGAATTGAATTTATTGCTAAAAATCAACGTATTCGTTGTTTAGCTCATATAATTAATTTAGCAGTACAAAATATACTTAAAACATTAAAGGAAGAAGCTCCTGAAAATGAAAATGAAATTTTACAAGAAAATACTTCTACAAATACATTAGGAGTTATTGCAAAAGTAAGTTATATAATTTATAATTAATTTTACTTATAATAAATTATTAATTATTAATAATTATATTAATGAATTTATTACATTTTTATTAATAGCTTCGAACATTAATAATAAAAATTAGAGAATCTACTCAAAAAAAAGAAAAATTTAAAAGACAATGTATTGCTTTAAATATAAAGCCATTAGAATTAATCCCTGATGTCAAGACAAGATGGAATTCTACACATAATATGATAGAAAGGGCTATTATTTTACGTGAGGTAAAAATATTTTATAGTATATAAAAAATATATAATATATATTAATACTTATTAGTATTTATTTATTAGCCACTATATAATTTTGCTGTAACAGATAAAGAACTTTTATCTTATGTATTAAATGATATAGAATGGAAGAAAATAAAAGAAATATAAGGTTTATTAACAGTAAATATATAATTTATATAATTGCTATTAAATTTTTTACATTATATTAATTTTTAATTAATTTTTAGTGTTTTGAAAAAGCAACCTTAGAGATGAGTTCATCATATTTTCCAACACTTGGCCAGACTGTGCCAATATATAATTATTTAATTGATAAGATTGAAGATTTTCTTGATAAAGAAACTGATACAAAATCAGAAGATGTTGTTAATGCCACAAATAATGCCAAAAATAAGTTACAACAATATTATCTGAGTTCAGATGGACTTGTTTATATAATTGCAACTAGTATGTAATATATATATTTAGTTAATAATTGCTTGTTTACTGTAAAATTATTAATTAAATTATTTATTTAATAGTAATTGATCCACGACATAAACTCCAATATTATACTGATAATGAATTTGAAGAAGACTATATTATTGCATATAAAAATCAAATTAAAGAATTATGGGTAACCAAATATAAACCAGAAAATAATGAAAATGATAATCAAAATATTAATCAAAATTCTCTTGCAGCTCATATGTTTAAGAAGCGAAAAACTTCTTATTCTGATGAGCTTGAAGCATATCTTAATGAGCCACTAGCAAATTTTGACATGGATATTTTAGCATTTTGGAAGGTAAATAACAAATACATGATATTATTTATTATATCAGTTATTTGGAAGTTTATTAAATTTTTAATTTTTTTATAGGTTCATGAAAATAAATTTCCGAATTTGTCAAAAATGGCTAGAGATTTTTTAGCAATTCCTGGTATATTTAACTTTAATTATTTAATAATAATTTACAATATAATCATTAATTTGCTATTTTAAATAGGTACAAGTGTTCCAGTTAAACGAGTATTTTCCAGTGGTACAGATATCATTACACAAAGAAGATGCAGCTTAGATCCAGAAACAATTCGAAAACTTATGTGTTTAAAAGCATGGATAAAATATAAAAATTCAAATTAGCTTAGTATTTAAAAAATGTATTTTTATGGTAAATTATTAGCATTTATCGTATAGTTGTATCTTGGTAAATTATTAATTATTTTTTATATACTATATAAGCTTATGCGGCAACTTATAATTGTAAATTAAGAAAAATTCATCCAAATTTTTCTTAAAATAACATGATGCTTAATTTAGAAAAGATTTTTTTAAAATAATAAATATACTGTGGCAACAACTTCGCAACTTAATTGTAAATTTCATTTTTATTTTATTTTAGTTTTATTTTTTTTTTATTTTAATTCCCTACTTTTGTGGATTTCGCCTAAGTCTAATTTAAAACTATTAATCTAACTAATCTATTAACCTTTTAAACTACACTATAGATTCAAACAATAATACACGTAAAATAAAAGAAAAAATATTAATTTATCCTCCCTCAGTTTACCTTCTTCATTAATCGTATTATCTTATCCTTTACATATACCTAAGACTGTTCTTGTGACTCTCTCCTCCGATTCCGTATTAATACTTTGTTGCATAGGAGTTGGATTTTCTGATCTCAAATCATTTATAACTTCCACTACTTTTCTACTGATACGTCATCTGCCTTAAAACTTCCCTTTATCTCTATCTTCCCCCAAATTATTCTGCGTTACGAAATTTTCTTGCTCGCAAAGAACAGAATACCTGAAGAAAAAAAGATGAAATTAGCAAAAGAATATGAAAGAAACGGAAAAAACAACAAAAAACTTTTCTAAACATATACCTTTTCGCGAAAAGCAACAAGAACCAAAAACCTAAAGAAGAGAAGAACAAAATTAGCAAGGAATGAAGGATGAAAGAAGCAAAAAGAACGATTCTAACCATTGCCCGCCCATAAAAAACTGCAAAGAACCGAATACCTACTAAATAAAAAGTGGACGAAATTAGCAAAGGAGAATGAACGAAAAAAAATAAAAAAAAAGATATACAACACCTGCCTTTTACGAAGAGCCGCAAGGAACCAAGAACCTAAAGGAAGAATGAAAAAGAGAAACACCAGTCTTAAATAATAATAAAAAAAAAATTTCTTTTTCGTCTAATTTCGTACGTCCCTTTCCTTCAGGTTTCAGTTCTTGTGAAAAGGCAGGTTTTTTTACTTTTTGATTCTTTTTTAGTTTTCTTTCCGCTATTTTTGCTGATTTTGTTTTCTCTTCTTTTTTTTTAGATTTTTGGTAAGTTTCTGACATTACTGTGAAGAACCACAAAGACTGAGACCTAAAAAGAAGAAAAGAACGTACATTAGCAAGGGAACAAGCAATAAAACAAAAAAAAAAGTGTTAAAGCCTACCTTTCTGTGCATAGATAACCAAAGAACCAAAACTTAAAGACACACTCTTCAATTCTTTACATTCGCTCAAAAAATCTTCTTCGCTTAGGTTCTGTTCAAAACAACTATATTTCTGTGAAGAACTGCAAAGAAACTGAGACCTAAAAGAAGAAAAGAACGTACATTAGCAAAGGAGAACAAGAAATAAAACAAAAAAAAAATATTTAAGCCTACCGTGCTTTAAGAACCAAAGCTTCATGTCAGTTTCTGGCGGTGAAGTTATGAGTTAATTGTAGCTAACAACTGTTCGCGTGAAAATAAAAATGTGAATAAAAATATGACTTTTAGTAAAAATGTAAAGTGAAAAACAACTGAACCTTAATTGCACTAATTACAATCGGCTAGTCTCTGGCGGTGAGAACTTCCTTTGTGTCTTTGGATACTTAGAAGAAGCCGTAGCTTCGTGTCGGCTACCTAGGAAGGACGGAATTGGTAAAAGGAAGTAAAAAAAGCCTTTCTTTCGGCTTTTCGTTCACTAAAGGGAAAGAGTAGAGAATATAAATTTTTTTTTTTTTAAAAAAAAAAAAAAATTTTCATTGGTTCCACC